AGCGGGCCAAAGGGGTCAAAGGTTGAGGTCGAGGTGCTGGTCGCTCCATTATCACCTTCACCATCACCTCCCACAAACTTCCACTGCTCCACCTCAAAAGCGACGCCCATCATCGGCTCATCGCAGAGCGGACCTGCCTGCGTGCACAGTTGAAAGCCGTTGATGAAGCTGTTCTCAAACTGGTACCGCTGATCCACTGAAAAGCCGCTTTTTCCCTTCTGTTCCAGAAGTTCCCTTTCAGCACCATTTTTAGAGAGAAAGCACGGCTGGTGCTGAAAGTCCTCCAGGCGGTTGATCAGCAGATTGGCACCGCAAAACTTCGGCCCAATGGACCAGATGCGCTGGACGGTGTCTTCGGGCCAGGCATCACTACCCCCACCACCTTCTTCCCCCGCCTCTTTAAAGCTGGCCTCCAACTTGGTCCTCAGCTGCTGCATGGCCGCCTGCGCCTCGGCGCTAAAGTAGTCGTTTTGCTGCTCCTTTTCGAGGTTTAGTTGGTGGGTGTTGGTGGGTGTATTCTGCAGCACCTTCCTCCGCTGAAACTGCATCATCTCCAGCAGCAGCTTCTGACTCAATTCGAGCACTGAGATGACCGCCTCGGGAAGGGGGCGGGCGCGAATCTGAAACGCTACCTTCTTGTTAGGCGTCAGCAGTTCAATTAGGCCCGGTGATGCATTAGCAGCAGCAGCTGTGGTTGAAGTAGTTGAAGAGGAGGTAGCAGCAGTTGTTGATGCAGACTTCTCGTCTCCACCACCCAAAACCGAAGTGGCAAACTTCTGATTAACACTGGTGAGGACAATCTTCTGCTCCGCCAGGCTCTCCTTGAGCATGTCCACCTTGGGCGGGCTGATGATCGTCTCGCGGAAGGGCACAATCGGCTCGGAGACGATAAACTCCACCTCCTCCTCCTCCTGCTCCCCGTCACCCTCCTTATCACCATTTTTCCGAAGAAAGTGCACCAGGTCGACGATGCACCGCTCCAGGTGCACCTCCCCGGTGGCCACGATGACGTGCTCCCCCGTCTCCTGAATCTTCACGTCGACGCAGGCGTCCGCCTGGTTGAGCATCTTCAGCGCCCTCGTCAGCGCCGCCATATCCGCCGGGTTCTTCGGCTCCACCGCCACCCGCAGGATGGGAATGCCGCCCGTAGTGGAAAAGGGGTGCCCGGCGTCACCCTCGGCCAGCGGCACAGCGTACGGCGTCGAGGAGAGCGTCGCCGACTTGATGACCGCCCCCTCCAGGCCGCCAATGCCGCAGATGTGCCCGGCGGCGACCTCCTCCACCGCCTCCAGGTCGCGGCCCATCAGCAGGTACAGCGCGCCGACGCGGGCCCGGGTGGCGTGCTGGTCGGCGGGCAGGTCCGCTAGGGAGGCGGTTGTGGTCGCCAGGGTCTCCAAGGCGGCGGGCGTCAGTCGGCTGGGGTCGTGCTTCGGCCCCAGCACGTACACCAGGTCGCCGGTGCGCAGTGTGCCGNAGGTACAGCGCGCCGACGCGGGCCCGGGTGGCGTGCTGGTCGGCGGGCAGGTCCGCTAGGGAGGCGGTTGTGGTCGCCAGGGTCTCCAAGGCGGCGGGCGTCAGTCGGCTGGGGTCGTGCTTCGGCCCCAGCACGTACACCAGGTCGCCGGTGCGCAGTGTGCCGCTGAAGACGCGCGCAAAGCCGATGAAGACGGTGTTGGAGCTGGTGTTGGCTGTGTCATCCTCTTCCTCTTTTTCAGCTTTTGTTGTGCTGCTTTGCTCCTCAGGACTACCTTGCTGAAGTTGCTGCAACCTCTTCTCCTTCTCCTCCTTCAGCTTCTCCCTCCGGCGGGCAATCTCCTCGGCGGTGAGCGGCCGCTGGCGATACTGCGGCAGCTGCCGCCGCTCAAAGGCAAACATCTTCGAGACGACGACGATAAGCGGCGGAACTGCTGCTGATGATGATGTTTCTGATGATGATGGCGGCGGCGAAGGCTGACAGGCAAGCAACGCCCCCTTCAGCGCCTGTGTCTCCGGCGGCAATGAACTAAAGGGTCGAACGCTTCCACCGCTCGAGCAGAGCAACATTCGCTCTACACGCTCGACGGGCAGCTCCGCCGGACACGGGACGACGGCGGTGACCGCCCGGAGGAGGGCCGCCGAAAGGGGCGTCCACTGAGAGAAGAGGGCGGTGAGGGCGGTCCGTGGGTCGGCGTGGTTCAGGTCCCTTCCGGTCAGCTTCACGCCCAGCTGCTCGGCAATCTTCGCCATCTCGGCGGCCTTTTCCGCTTTGGCTGCTGAACTTGGGGCGGTAAAGCTGGCGTAGATGCGCGCCAGGTTCTCCAGGACGAGCGTCACAAAGAGCGGCTTCTTCGCCTTTGCCTGCGCCCCCTTCATGATGCGCTTCTCCTTGGCGTTCAGGTAGTAGTCGCCCCAGAGGGTCTTCTTCAGCACCGCCTCGCTAAGGCCCAGTTTGGAGCGGGAGAGGACGGCCGCGAAATCGGCCACAGTGAAGCCCCAGCCGTCGATGGCGCTGGCGAAGAGGACGTTGCCGTTTTCCGGAGAGAAGTAGACGGAGGAGTCGTCGGCGTCGTCCAGGCCGGAGGACCAGTCGTAGAAGATCTGCTGCTGCTGCTGGTGCTGCTTTGTTCGGCCTTGTTCGCTGGTGTTGTTGTTGCTGGTGGCGGCTGAAGATGGCTCGGTCGAAGATGGTTTAGACGTTTTAGCAGTCTCTTCGGTGGCGGCTGTTGTTGTTGATGTGGCGCCCGACTTGGCGAGCACCTCGGCGGCAAAGAGCTCGCCGACGAAGGCGTTCACCTGCTCCAGCGTTTGCACCAGGTGTGTGTAGATGTCCAGCGGAGGTAGCTGGCGCTCGAGGAAAAGGCGGTCGATCTTGTTCAGCACCAGAATGGGGCGAACACGAGCAAGCCAGGCCTGCTGCAGGGCGGCCCGCGTCTGCGAGCAGGCGCCCTCGATGACATCGACGAGGATGAGGCAGCCGTCGCAGAGGCGCAGCGCGGTGGACACCTCGCCGAAGAAGTCGACGTGGCCGGGACTGTCGATTACATTGATCAGGTAGGACTTGGTGCTGCCTGGCTCTGTTTCTACTTTGGTGNTCGATTACGTTCACCAGGTAGGATTTGGTGGTTGGCTTGCTGCCTGGCTTTGTTTCTGTTTCTACTTTGGCGCTGTCCTCTTCTGAAAATGAGAGCATTGTAATCGAAGTTTTCGATAACGAAAGATCAGAAGGACTTACGTTTGTAGACGAGCGAAATGGAGGAGCACTTCATGGTGATGCCGCGCTCCTGTTCATCCAGTCGCGAGTCCATGTAGCGCAGCTTGCCGGCCATTCGCTGCGAGATGA